TTGTACAAGGTGTAAACATTAAATATCAAAATATCAAAATATTCACAAACTAAGCTAATAACAATATTTATTCTTGGATTTTTTTAAATTACTACATCATTTGACCAGAGATTTTTGATTGTAGATGTCCACTGTGCTCAGTCATTTATGTCTTGAAGCTGGATACAATAGTCTCTTCCAGAAGCTTCTAGAAATGTGTCCACTAAAGGAAGGCCTCTTGTTTGGCTCTCACATGGTCTCTTCTGTGGTTTAGATCCATTGGACTCCTCCGCCCTTATTAGAGAAAGGCAGTCCTTAATAGGATCCCAGGACTTAGGTCATATACAAGGTTCATTTATTTACTTTCTATATTAACAATTGCAATTAAACTATACAATAAATGCCTAGAATAGCATTTAATTACTGTTTAGTCCATTTTCATTTCATGCAATTACTGCTATAGTTAGGTTTGTCTACCATTTTGCTATGCGTTTTTTATGTTTTCTATTGACTTGTTCTTTTATTCCTTCTTCGCTCGATTTAACAAACTATGTTTAACCCATTTTTCTCCTCTGCTAGCTTTTTAGTTATACATTCTTTTTTCATTTTTGTGGGTACATCGTATGTATATACTTAAGGGGTGCATGAAATAATTTGATACAGGCATACAATGTGTAATAATCACATCAGGATAAATGGGGTGTCCATAACCTCAAGCATTTATCATTTATTTACATTACATACATCCCAATTATTGGTTATTTTTAAATGTACAATAAATAATTGTTGACTGTAGTCACCCTGTTGTGCCATCAAATGCTAGATCGTATTCATGCTGACTATAATTTTTTATCCACGAACTGTCCCTACTTCCTGCCCCCCTACACACCCCTACTACCCTTCCCAGCCTGTGGTAATCATCATTCTACTCTCTATCTCCGTGAGCTCAGTTTTAATTTTTAGCTCCCACAAATGAATGAGAACATGTGAACTTAGTTATACATTCTTTTGTTAATCTTTCAGAGACTATCTTACAGATTACGTAGCATCTTTGACTTACTACTCTCCATCTTTTAATAATAATTTACCATCTCCCAAACAATGCAAAAAAAGTATACAGAAGTTAAACCCTCTCCTACCCTATGTGCTATTGTTGTATATTTTGCTTCTATATAAGTTATGAATCCCACAGGATATCATTACTCTGGCTTTACACAGTATTGATTTATGTTTACCTACATCTCTGCCCTCTCCTGTGCTCTTTGTTCCCTCCTACAGTTCTGTGCAGGTCTAGAATCTTTCCTTCAGTGCAAAGGACTCCCTTAAGTATTTCTTTTTATTTTTTTGAGACGGAGTCTTACTCTGTCACCCAGGCTGGAGTGCAGTGGCATGGCCTCAGCTCATTGCAACCTCCACCTCCTGGGTTGAAGCGATTCTCCTGCCTCAGCCTCCCGAGTAGCTGGGATTACAGGCGCTCACTACCGCACCTGACTGATTTTTGTATTTTTGGTATAGACGGGGTTTTTTCACCTGTTGGCCAGTCTGGTCTTGAACTCCTGACCTCAAGTGATCCACCCGCCTCAGCCTCCCAAAGTGCTGGGATTACAGGCATGAGCCACTGCGCCTGGCCTCCCTTAAGTATTTCTTAATGCTGGTTGGTTGGTGACAATTTTCTCTGCTTTTGTTTATCCGAGAAACCTTATTTTGCAAATCCTTTCTGAAGGATGTGTTCACTGGATGTATGCTCTAACCTAGCTTGGCAGGTTTTTTCTTTTAGCATCTTAAAGTTTTCTTTCTGTTGTCTTCTGACCTTCACAGTTTCTGCTGGAAAGTCAGCCGTCAGCCTGATTGTTACCCTTTGGAAAGTGAATGTGTCTTTTTCCCTCTGGCTGACTTTCCCTTTACCTTTGGTTTTTAGCATCTTGTCTATGACATGCTTAGTTATGGTTTTCTTTGTGTTTATCTTACCTGGGATTTGTTTGATTCTTCTTGATAAATTTCAGCTTCTTGTTGAAATTCACCTGTGTGAAGATGATGTGGGAAAAGCCCTCAGAAAAATTGCAGAATGAATGTGGTGCTCAGTTCATAGCCTTCTTTTCTTTCAAGAATTGTGGCTCCCAGAATCCTCCCTGTGTTGATGCCCTCCAGAGCCTTCAAATAGTGTTTCCTGGCTTTTGTACAACTTGTATAGTTGTTTTCAACTATTTCATTATGCCAAACTCGGAACTTTCTGGAATAGCTTTTCAATACCTATGGCTACTTAGGGTTTCATGAATGATCCTCATGAATGTTTTTTAACATTTATTTTCTCTGCTAAATCTGTCATTTTGAAGGAAACAGTAAGCAATTTGTGCTTTTAAAAGATGCCCCTGGCCAGGCGCAGTGGCTCATGCCTGTAATTCTAACACTTTGGGAGGTCGAGGCAGGAGGATCACTTAAACCCAGGAGTGTGAGACCAGTCTGGGCAACATAGCAAGATCCTGCCTTTACAAGAAAAAATTATCTGGACATGATGGCATGTGCCTGCGGTCCCAGCTTCTTGGAAGGCTGAGGTGGGAGAATTACTTGAGCCCGGCAGGGGCAGGTGGGGGCAGGGTGCAGTGAGACTACAGTGAGCCAAGGTCACACCACTATACTCCAGCCTGGGTGACAAAGTGAGACCCCGTCCCCAAAAAAATAAAATACAAATAAAACATAAAAGGTGCCCCCGTTCCCATTCTATTCCAACCAGTTTAGCAAACTTACTAGATATTCAGTGTGTTTTAAAGTCTATTTACATGCGACTTTTCCACTATATTCTTCTATAATATATTCTAGGACCACGATCAGAGATGCCCAGGGTACAAATAGCAAACCATTCAAATGGGCACACCTTTCCTGGATGCCATTTAGTTACAGAAACAGTGTATATTTGTGCCTTTTTGATAAAGGTGTGATTCAGAAACAGTTGATGAGTTTCTGGATGCCGCTCAGTTACTGTTGCTCTCCCACATCACTGGGTTGGCTCTACTCATTTCCCCATCTTCGTTCTCTTGTAGTTCATTTGACTAATATATACAATCCCTGCTATATTCAGGACTCAGTGCTGGATGGATTAAAATAAATGCATGAAATAATCGATGAGCTCCCCTGATGCACCAGTAGCCCTTATATTCTTGTGTAGGTGAACTAGATACATCATGAGTAGTTCCATATAAGGCAAAGTGTATCACAATAAGGGAATAAATAGGTACTAAGTTATTAGTCCTAAAGTCATCTGCCCTAGGTTCCTGCAATTGTTTTCATTATTAAGTTAACAAAGGTTTTGTTTGTTTTGTTTGTTTGTTTGTTTGTTTGAGACAGAGTCTCACTCTGTCACTCAGGCTGGAGTGCAGTGGCATGATCTCGGTTCACTACAGCCACCACCTCCCAGGTTCAAGTGATTCTTGTGTCCTAGCTTCCCGAGTAGCTGGAATTACAGGTGTGCACCACCATGCCCAGCTACTTTTTGTATTTTTAGTGGACATGAGGTTTCACCATGTTGGCCAGGCTGGTCTCAAATTCCTGGCCTCAGGTGATCTGCCCATCTCAGGTGGCTTCCCAAAGTGCTAGGATTATAGGCGTGGGCCACCATGCCTGGGCAACAAGAGTTTTTTTTAAGTAGTGAGTGAGAAGAGAATAATTTACTTTTAGTTAAAAAAAAAACTATACCATACCGTAGTGTAACACTTTTTTTAAAGAAACATTTTACCATCCCAGCTTCTTAATATATCAGTTTAATTTTTTTTGCCCATTTCTCATTGTTTCCATTTAAACACGTATTTTTATAAGTATCATAATGTATAATTTTACAGTTACATTTTTATTGTCATTGACCTTTCTTGATATAGTTATGAAAACATCATAATTATGTTAATTGTTTGATTTTTTTTCTCATTGGTATGCTAGTACTTGGTAAGTTTTCTTTTGTTTGGGAGGTGGATTTTTTTTCAGTTTTCAAGGTTAGAAGTAATGTCACATGGAACATTGTTGATTCAGGAATCCCACTCCTAAAATAATTCAAAGAGAAAAAGCTGTTGCTCAAGCAATATGAATACTTTTGTGATTCTTGACACAAGCTATGTTAGAAAAAATATTTTCTCAATGTTCGGTGCTACCAGTGGTTTTATAATAGCCCTTGTATTAGGAGCTACGGCTTTAAAATATTGGCTTATTTAGCATCTACAAATGATACTTTGTTTTAATTTGCATTTCTTGGGTTATTAATAAGGTTGGACATTTTCCCTGTACTTATTTGCTGTCTGAATTTACAGGATCATTTTCAGCACTGAGCTGAAAATTAATTAAAATTTTTATTTCAGGTAATTTGATACAATTTCAGTGTTTTCAGAAGAATTAATAACCATATATAAGAGATATTAGACCCTGAAGTTTAATTCTTTTGTATGGTTTTAATTATATAAAGTATCTATGCAGACAAGAGTCTTCAGATACAATAAGAAAAATATAGAAGTTAATTGCATTATTTCAGTTTCAAAAATAATTTCTAATCCCTGTATGCCTTTAGGTGTAATGTTAATAAATTCCGTTATTTTTAGCTTATCAAACTTACAAAGCTTACTGTGGAAGATAACTGGTAAGACTTGGTCAAATGTGTCAGTTAAGGGTATTTTTCTGGCCAGGTGCGGTGGCTCACGCCTGTAATCCCAACACTTTGGGAGGCCGAGGTGGGTGGATTACTTGAGGTCATGAGTTCAAGACGAGCCTGGCCAACATGGTGAAACCCTGTTTCTACCAAAAATACAAAAGTTAGCCAGGCATGGTGGTACATGCCTGTAATCCCAGCTACTCGGGAGCCTGAAGTGAGAGATTTGATTAAACTCAGGAAGCAGAGGTTACTGTGAGCCAAGATCGTGCCACTGTACTCCAGCCTGGGCAACAGCGTGAAACCTTGTCTTAAAAAAAAAAAACAAAAAAACAAAAAAACATATTTTTCTTCCTGGACTTTGAAAGTGTGTTTTGTTTCTCCTCTTCTTCTTCAGGTTAAAAAGGCCTTCTTTGCTTTGGTAGCCAACGGTGTCCGAGCAGCACCACTGTGGGAGAGTAAAAAACAAAGTTTTGTAGGTAAGCAGTGTGAGCCTGAGGAAAACCGAAAATGGAAACCTTGAAAGCAGAAAGCCTGAAGTATTTTAATAGATGCCAGTTTGGAATTCGACCTAGTAAACATGTTTCCAAGTTAAAGAACTGTCTTGCTGGCAGAGTGCAGTGGCCCATGCCTATAATCTCAGCACTTTGGGGGGCCAAGGCAGGGAGATCGCTTGAGGCCAGCAGTTCGAGGCCAGCCTGGGCAACATAGCAAGACCTCACCTCTACAAAAACATACAAAAATTAGCTACTCAGGAGGCCAAGGTGGGAGGATCACTTGAGCCCAGGAGATCGAGGCCATAATCACTGCACTGTACTCCAGCCTGGGTGACAGAACGAGACCCTGTCAAAAAACAACAACAACAACAACAACAAACACACACACGCACACACACACACAAATCCTTGCTTTTACATACTGAGTAAGAAGGTGGAACTGCTAGTAAGGTCCAAACACTGTTGTCCTGTTTTTCTTTGCGTCCTCATTGAGAATACACACTGTTGTAACTTTTATGGAGCTTTTGTTGTTGTTGAATTTCTTTTAATTTAGCAACTTTTTGGTTCTCTGAAGAGCTTATATGTCTTTACCAGCCCAGTGAACAAACCCCACGTAGGACACCACAGTCAGATGTGAGCCAGCCGCCCCACTTTGGGCCGTACTTGGCATACAGCATCCCTGGGCCTCACACTCATCTCGCTGGTGCACACCTTTTTGGCAGGACAAATTAGATGCTGTAAACATGACTGATGTCTCTGCCAGACCATTGTTATACTATTAAAACTGTTGTGTAACTTACAGCTATCTAAATGCCATCGTTACTTATCTTATGAATCACAGCAGACAATGCCATTGTCTCTCTTAGTATTCTTCACATGATTTTGAAATGATTGTTACGCCTGCTTCTAGGTTTTAATTTCATCAGGGAAGAAGTTCATGTCTTTTTCATCCCTGTCATCCTAGTGTCTAGCACATCAAAAGCACTCAATACATGGCAACTGTTTGTTAAAACCATTGTGTTTAGAATGCTTCTTGGGAAACAATCCAAGTGTCCAGAATTGTCACGTTTCTCAAGCTTATGGAATACTTTATCTTAAAGTATTTAAAATTATTTACATGTAACTGCAATTCTTTTTTCAAATTTGTATCAATTAATAAGTTTTCTCTCATCGATTTCCAAATTCTGTGGTTAGTTCCATAGTACTTACTGTCAGGTTTAATTTCAGCTAAATTTGTATATCCAGTTTGGTATGCACAATTAACACATCAATAGTTTTAAATAATATATTAAACTCTGCTTGATATCTTCAAAATGTATTTTATAAGCTCTTCTAGTATATATTCTAAGCTCACTTGTCATTTGGAATTTTTTAAAGTGTTTTCATAGCTTTGTTTTTAACATATAATTCTTTGTTCCAGGAATGCTAACAATTACAGATTTCATAAATATACTACATAGATACTATAAATCGCCTATGGTAAGTGGCACCAGTTCCTATGTCAGTAGTTGGGCTGTACATATCTATGTATGTGTATAGGTATATATGTGTATTTTAAGATTTTTAATGTTTTCAGGTTTTTGTTTTTTGGTATGGAGTGCTGGTGGTGGTTGATTTTCCAAATATATATAACGTGCAGGGAACTTAAGTATAAAACTATCTTTACCGTAAGTCGTATATATGAAACTCAAAGAAGGGATTCTCAGGAAAAATAAAAGGAAATAGATTCTTTATTCAGCTTTCAGAATTCCTCGGCTTAGCAGAATTCTATTTGTTAGCTAGACGTTCTGTACGTTTTGCTTATCTCTTCAGGCCTGTTGATGTGGTAGAGCTTAATTCAGTTATCCCAGCAATTGCAGAACAAGAATTCTATGTACTTTGTGATTTTAAAGAAGAAAAAATGAGTCATTAAAATGAAATTCAGTTTTGACATTTTCCTGCTAATTAGGAAAAGACAGCTACTGGCTAATTTTAGTAGCAGAACTCTCTGGTCCCTGGTACAGTGGTTCTGGAAGAGTGTAGCTTCAAAACCACTTTTGTCCTTCATCTAACTTTGTGGTGTCTGAGATTCGGCCTGCTTGGTTTTGTGTTTTTAGTTTCTGTTTGTTTGTTCATGAGGGTGGGAGGAAGGACAGAATTGCATACTCTATTTAACTGGTCCTATTTGGGGTACTTAAAAGGTATAAGTTAATTCAATTAATACTGCTTTATGCGTAATGCTCAATATTATCCAATAATTAAATTCTTACATAAAATACAAAAATGAGTTTCTTCATAAAACATGTTCTTGCCGGGCACAGTGGCTCATGCCTATAATCCCAACGCTTTGGGAGGCCGAGGCCAGTGGATCACTTGAGGTCAGGAGTTTGAGATCAACCTGGCCAACATAGTGAAACCCTGTCTCTACTAAAAATATAAAAATTAGCTGGGTGTGGCAGCGGGCACCTGTAATCCCAGCTATTCAGGAGGCTGAGGCACAAGAATCACTTGAACCCTGGAGGTGGAGGTTGCAGCGAGCCAAGATCGTGCCACTGCACTCCAGCCTGGATGACAGAGTGAGACTACGTCTCCGAAAAACAAAACAAAACAAAAAACCATACTCTTAGGAAGTTTTACTAAAGGTTTTGTAAATATCTTGTATTTATTTCCCATGAAATCTATTATTTCTTAAATATTACCAATACAATGAAAAGCTGCTTCCTAATACTGGTCCATACCTCTGCTTTTTGAACTAGCAAAACACACAGAGTCTGAATTTTTGAATAGAATAAATTTTTTTTTTTCTTTTAAGACAGAGGTCCTCGCTTTGTCCCCAGGCTGGAGTGCCAGTGGCCCATTCAGCTCAACTGCCAAGCCCGCCTCCTGGTATTTCACGCCTTCTCGTATGCCCTCGCCTCGAGTGAGCTGGGGACTACAGGCCGCACCACCCGGCTAATTTTGTAATTTTTAGTAAGACGGGGTTTCACCGTGTTAGCCAGGTGGTCCCAATCCCCGACCTCGTGATCCCCCCCCGCCTCCGGCATGCCAAGGCTGGATTACAAGGCGTGAGCCACCGCGCCTGCGGCGAATACGATAGGATTTCGCTATGACATGCAGCAAATCCCATAATAAGAAATCTCAAGCACGTAGATTATGATAGTCAAAATCCAAAAAGCAGTTATTATCTAAATATGCAGCCAAAGTTTTTCTAGTATCTGTACGATACAGGCCAGGCACGGCTCCCGCCTATATCCACCAGTACTTGAAGCCAGAAGGGTAACTCACTTGAGCCCAGGAATTGAACACCGTGGGGCAACATGGGTGAAACCTATCCCTCACAAAAAAAAAAAAAATACCACACACACACAAAAAAGTTAGCCAGGCAGGATGGTGTGCATCTGTCAGTCCAGACAGCTCACAGGAGGCTGAGTTGAGAGGATTACTTAAGCCTGGGAGGTTAAGACTGCAGTGAGTCATGATCACACTTTGTTTACTCCAGCCGGGTGAACAGAGTGGAGACTGGTGACAGAAGTGAACTTGTCTCAAAAAAAGGCCCTCCCGGGCATGGTGGGCTCCACAGCTTCGTAAATGCCAAGCACTCTGGGAGCTGAAGACGGCGGACTCACGGAAGTCCAAGAGATGAGACCATTCGCCTGGCTAACACAGATGAAGCCCCCGTCTCTATAAAAATACAAAATTACTGGTCGTGGTGGTGGGTTGCCTGTAGTCCCAGCTACTTGGAGGCTGAGGCAAGGAGAATGAGCGTGAACCCCGGGAGAGCGCAGCTTGCAGTGAGTGGGACGTGCCACTGCACTCCACAGCCTGGGGACAGAGCAATACTCCGTCTCAAAAAAAACAAAAAAACTTGCAGATACATTTTTCTTCCTACTAATCCAACCTCTTCTTCTTATCTTTTTTATTTTTTTTTTTTTTTTGAGAGAGAGAGTCTCTTCTGTTGCACAGGCGAATGCCAGTGGTGCATCTCGGGTCATGCAAACCTTCCCTCCATGGTTCAAGCAATTCTCTTGCCTCAGCCTCCCGAGTAGCTGGGACTCCAGGCACCCACCACTATGCCTGGCTAATTTTTGTATTTTTAGTACAGATGAGGTCTCACCATATTGACCAGGCTGGTCTCAAACTCCTGACCTCAGGTGATCTGCCCACCTTGGTCTCCCAAAGTGCTGAGATTACAGGCATCAGCAACCGTACCTGGCCACCTCATTTTCTAATTGTAAATAGAAAATGCTATTATGAAAGCTATGTTTTGTTTCATTTTCCAAATATTTTTTCTATGTCGTATATATATATATAAAAATAAGAATTCTTTTATTTGCAGGTACAGATTTATGAATTAGAGGAACATAAAATTGAAACCTGGAGGGGTAAGCACTATTGGACTTTTAAAATCTTTTAGTATCAGGAAAGCTATGCTTAGTATGAAAAGTGTGTTTTAATTTTGCAGATCCTTTTCTCTCTGCTCCATAAAATGTTATTTTTTTTGAACATTTAAAAGTTGTTTTAATGATAATTTAAAAATTTAAAAAGTAAAAGATTTTACCTAAAAAAGACAAAGGTGCCCTGATGGAATGGGGGTGTGAGAAAGAGTTGAGACTGTTAAGTTATGGAGAAAAGAACAAAATGAACAAAGACCAGGGAGTAACACTCTTTAAGCACTTTCAAACCAGAGGACATGGTTAAACTGAGCCATGAAAAACACGATTTCTCCTGGTTTTCTACATTTAGTTAATCTAATGTACTTTGTATTCAGTTGCTGTTAAATTATAGTACAAAAAAGTAAAATGGTATGAATTTGATTTATTAATAAAACTTCCTTTTTTTTTTTTTTTTTTGAGACAGAGTTTCGCTCTTGTCGCCCAGGCTGGAGGGCAGTCGCGTGATCTCGGCTCACTGCAACCTCCGCCTCCTGAGTTCAAGTGATTCTCCTACCTCACACTTCCAAGTGGCTGGGATTACAGGTGTTTGCCACCATGCCTGGCTAATATTTGTATTTTTAGTAGAGATGGTGTTTCACCATGTTGGCCAGGCTGGTCTTGAACTCCTGACCTCAGGTGACCCACCTGCCTCAGCCTTCCAAAGCGTGGGATTACAGGCATGTGCCACCCGGCCATAATACAACTTCTTTGATGTGCTGACATTATTCTCCATTGAGAATCATAATTGTAGCAGGAAAGACTGCAGTGTGTGTGGTCATACATACTTTATATATATACACACAGCGACCACACGACGACACGACTTTAAATTCTAGGGGATCATGTGCACAACGTGCCGGTTTGGGTGGAGAGGTGATAGATGTTGCACCGTTGGGTGTTGCTGCAGCGCCCAAACGGGGCGAGGCGAGGAGATCTAGCAGCGCGCGCCGTGGGCTCCGCGCGCGCCACAAAATGGGCCTGGTGGAGGGGGGGTTGGCCCGGGGCCTGGGCCAAAAGGTGTGCTCCATTGATGCGCGGAGGGGGCGCCAGCCTAAGAGAGGAGAGGGACGGTGCGCGGGTATGTTGGTGTGTATTATCGCGGTGGCAGGGGAATAGTATTGCGTGAAGGAATGAGGATCTTCACCAGCTTAACCCCGTACCTACGCCCAGAAAAACAGAAGGACGCGCGCAATCCTATTTATTATATGGAGCTGACAGGAAGGCCATGAGGGTAGATTATGTGCACAGCTGTTCAGTAATCCCCAGTGGATGAAGAGGGGGGGACACAGCTGGTATCGTGGAATAGTTGGCGCAACAATAAGACGATACGTGTGCATGTGTCTTTTATGGCGAGGGCATAGACTTTTATCAATCCTTTGGGCATATCAGACCGCAGGTAATGGAGTGGGGCTGGGTCAAGATGGGCATTTCTAGTTCTAGATCTTTGAGGAATTTCGCCCACACCTGTCCTGGGGTTGAACTAGTTTACAGTCCCCACCAGGTCAGTGGTTGAGAAAGTGTTCCTGTTCTGTCCAGCGATCCCTCCTCCAGGCACCTCGGTTGTTTCCCTGACTTTTTAATTGAACGCATTCTAACGGCATGAGCGTGGTATGTCTCGAGTTTTGTTTCGGATTTGGCATTTTTTTAAAGTGGGAGTGGAAAGAGGGACAGCAAAGCAAATCGGTACCTAGACATTCCGTGGGTGCCGATGGAGTAGGGGAAAGGAATTCAATGTTTGTGAAGATGGGGGCCATACCTGGCCCAACGGTCAATTTATAGATTCAGTGCCCATCCCCATTCAGCTTCCAATGATTTCTTCACCAGAATGTGGAAAAACTACTTTAAAGTATGATGGAACCAGAAAAAGAGCCACCATTGCCAAGGGTCGAGAAATACCTGAAGCCAAGAAGAACAGAAGCTCGGGCATCATGTACCTGGGACTCCCGCAACATGATACCCACCAAGGCTACAGGTACCCCGCACAACAGCCACTTCGGTACTGGCTACCCAAAAAAACAGGGAGCTATGTTTAGACCAAATAACCAGACAGAGGCCCCGTCAGAAAATGAATACCCCACATGTCGTACGAACCATTCATGATCTGTTGGACTAACCCTGTGAGCAAAACAGGAGAGAATTTGGGGAAAGGAGGGTTCCCATATTTAATAAATGGTGGGGCTGGGAAAGAACTGGCGTAGCGCATATTGTAGGAAAGCTTAGTAAAAAAACGTGGATCGCGCTTGGCCTTACCAACCTTATGTGAGCAAATTATTCAACGATACAACCTCACACGACCTCTTACAACCTGTCTAGACCCTCCAACCACACCATAAAAAAAAACCCTAAGAAGAAAAGCCTAAGCGGCAATACCATTTCAGGGGGGACATAGCCATGTGCCAAGGGACCTTCAGTCTAAACGCACAAAGCAAATGGCAACAAAAGGCCCAAAATGGGACAAAATTGGGATGCTAATGTTAAGACTAACGAGAGCTTTCTGGCCGCCAAAGGAAACCTGACATCAGGGGAGTTGAACAGGCAACCCTACCAGAGATGGGAGAGGAGAAATTTTTGCAATCTACTCATCTGACAAAGAGAGCTAATATCCAGAATCTACAGCAGAACTGCAAACAAAGTTAGCAAGAAAAAAAAAACCCAATCAAAAATTGTGGGGGAGAGGTACAACAGGACAGCTTCTCAAAACAGAAGGGGAACATTTATGCAGCCAACAGACACATGAAAAAATGCTCATCATAAAATGTTATTTAAAACATTCTCTTTATCTTAATTTTGATAGTATGCTACTGTACTAAAGCTGAACAATGTAAGTACTGTCCATTCTGTTTATAGACATGTATAGGACACCTACAGCAGGCAGGGCCTTATCCTAGGGCCAGGAATGTGAAGATGAATGAGCTAACCAAGCTCCACCTCGCTGTCCACAGTGGGGCCACCGTTCTCTACTAAGTCCAACTCTCAGAGATTTGCCTTGGTATTAAGAAATGCATCAGAGGCATGCCTAACTTGAACCAAAGCAAGCATCTGTTCTTATTTAAACCTAATAATTGTTTCTTTACAAATTATGGAGAAACTTAGGACAAATGAACCTCAAACTAGATGGCTTGGAGCAAATAGCATGGAAGTAATTTGAAGACCATGTTCTTTTCTTTGTCACATTGACATTCACCCTATAAAATCATGATACTCTTTTCTGCCATGGAACCATTTCTTAAATTCACATTTCATGATTGTGAAGGTGGTGGTCTCACGGAGACTTGTCATGGTGGGTTGGTGGAGAGGACCGGGGGTGGGAATCACGGCAGACCCAGTCTGCAGGGTGCTGAAGGAAACACTGGTAGAAATGGAGGGACCAACTAAAGGAAAATTTTGAATTCAAAATTGAAGAGTTTGGTTCTATGTTTCCCATAATATGCTTGATAGGAGAAGCAAGCTTTGTAACTGGCTGTGAAATCAGAACACATCTTGGAGTTCTCTTACACCCCAGGGGCCCTTTCAAATCCATGTGATTTAGAAGTTTCACTGAGTGATGGATTTGGTTTATTACGGCTTTGTCAAACCAAGCTAAACAAATTTGTCATGGGATCTGTACGGCCTGTTGTACAGAGATTGTATAACACCAAGATAGATACTTCTTATCCAGTTCTACTGTACAAGTACTGTTAGACCAAGGTTTAAGTATATTTACATTTTGACATTACATGGTATTTGATAGTAATAATAATGCCAAAATATTCTTAAACACCTTCTGTATAGAAACCTTGGTAAAGCAAGGCCAGGAGTGGTGGCTCACACCTGTAATCCCAGCACTTTGGGAGGCCAAGGCAGGTGGATCACTTGAGGTCAGGAGTTCAAGACCAGCCTGACCAACATGGTGAAACCCCGTCTCTACTAAAAATACAAAATTAGGGCCGGATGCAGTAGCTCCACCTGTAATCCCAGCACTCTGGGAAGCCGAGAGGGGTGGATCACCTGAGGTCAGGAGTTCGAGACCAGCCTAGCCAACATGGTGAAACCCTGTCTCTACTGAAAATAGAAAAAAGTAGCCAGGCATGGTGGCAAACACCTGTAATCCCAGCTACTTGGGAGGTTGAGGCAGGAGACTTGCTTGGGCCTGGGAGGCTTAGGCTTGGGCCTGGGAGGCAGTGAACCAAGATGGTGCCACTGCACTCCAGCCTGGGTGACAGAGCAAAACTCCTTCTCAAAAAAAAAAAAAAAGGCTGGGCACAGTACCTTATGCCTGTAATCCCAGCACTTTGGGAGGCTGAAGTAGGTGGATCACTTGAGGTCGGGAGTGCGAGACCAGCCTCGCCAACATCGTGAAACCCCATCTCTACTAAAAATACAAAAAAAATTAGCCAGGTGTAGTGACGTGCACCTTTAGTCCCGGCTACTTGGGTGGCTGAGGTGGGAGAATCGCTTGAATCTGGGAGGCAGAGATTGCAGTGAACCCAGATCATGCCACTGCACTCCAGCCTGAGCGACAGAGTGAGACTCTGTCTCAGAAAAAAAAAAGAAACTTTGGAAAAGCAAATTAATTGCGGTTGATATCTTTAGAAAAAAAGTTTTTATATGCTGGAAAGATGCCCACAATGCAGTAGGTTTTGAGCATTAATTTGGTATAATACTTAAGAATATTTAAAGAACAAAGTTTGTTATAACTGATTTTCTCTTATAACTTATGGAAATTAATTTTTTTAATTTCATAATTGCTTCATTTCTTGAGAGTAATATGAACCTGATAGCATTCTAGTGACCTCTGCTGGTATTGCTCTTTTATCAGATTTCTTTTTTTCCTGATTTTATAAACACCTACTGTCAAATTGGTTTTTAATGTTTAATTTTTCTTCAAATGCAACATCCTGAAAACAGTTTGGAAGTTGTTTAAAATAGCCATAACTGTAATTAATGCAGGGGTTTTAGGCAAATTAAATTTCTTTTTGAGTTTTTAATCCTTCTATTAACTGTAAACTGAAGGGTATTTGAATTTATGTAATAACTGCAAACAGCAAATGTGTTACTAACTGCATATTTTCTTTCTATAAATACAGAGCTTTATTTACAAGAAACATTTAAGCCTTTAGTGAATATATCTCCAGATGCAAGGTAAACTTTTTTTTTCCTTTGAAAACATTCATTCAGATGTATGTGTTTTATCACCATGATAGAAAGAAACAAATAAACATGTTCTTTATTCTAAACAGTTCCCATGGCCTCCTTAATTCCAACTACACTGTATGCATTCAGTAAACCTAGTAGCACTAGAAAAATCACAGCCATTGTGTTGCTAAGGATTGATAATGGGCTAGTAATAGGGTCATACTAAACCATCATGAAGATCTCGGCCAATCTGGGGGGTGTGTTGAAATTGCAGATTCTTGGGCTTTTACCCCTGACCTGCTTAATCAGGATAGGGCCTGGGAATATGCATTTAAACAACTCCTGTGGCAATTCAGCTCCGCACAAGTGTTTAAACATCAGTGTATGTGAGATGTTGGTTCAGATGTGGTCAGAACGTGAGCTGCCTTCTATGTAGTCGTTTGGGCCATCCTTTTTTATCCAGCCTTCTGGTTTGGCTGTGATACATTTCCACATTTGTGTAAAAGCACCTTTCAAACTCAAATCCTGTACAGAGAAAGATTAAAGCATTTATTTTCATTTTATTTACAAGTCCTAACAAAAAGATGTAACAACCTTCTTACTGGCAGTCCCAGGAGAGGCACCAAGTAGAACAGAAGTGTTGGCCCTACAATATCTACTAGCCAGGCTGGCCCAGGGTAGAGCCAGTTTGCCCACTCACCAATGCAGGGGGCTTGCTGCTACAGCCTTTGCTCTCTTGCTAATATGATGCATCTGTTTGCTTTTCTAAGGATTTAGGTTATATTATCTTTCAAATAAAATCACTAAATACACTCAAAAAAAACCTCCTCTTCCTGGCTGGGCGCAAGGGCTCATGCCTGTAATCCCAGCACTATGGGAGGCCATGGTGGGTGGATCGCTTAGCAGCCTGTGCAACACGGCAAAACCCCATGTCTACAAAAAATAAAGGTGGTGCATGCCAGTAGTCCCAGCTACTCAAGAGGCTGAGGTGGGAGGATCACCTGAACCCGGGAGGTCAAGGCTGCAGTCAGCCATGACAGCAGGCAACAGAGCAAGACCCTATCTCAAAAAAACAAACCAAAACAAAATCTCCTCTTCTAGAGATTTGTAGCTTGCACTTGTATTTGAGATATGTTAACATAGATTGTGAAAAATGAAAAATTTGCTGAGATCTCTAATTTAAAACTCTTCCAAAACACTGTAATTATTGTAATAATAAAAACACTGGAAGTGCTTTAAGGCAGGGGTAGTCCAAATGTTCTGATTTTTCTTGAAAGCCTCCTAACAACTCTAACGACTTTTCCCACAGCCTCTTCGATGCTGTATACTCCTTGATCAAAAATAAAATCCACAGATTGCCAGTTATTGACCCTATCAGTGGGAATGCACTTTATATACTCACCCACAAAAGAATCCTCAAGTTCCTCCAGCTTTTTGTAAGTTGTTTTTAGCGTTTCTAAAGACATAATTGCATTTACTTATTAAATAATGTACTTCAAGTAAATTGGCTCCTGTTACCCTCAATAGAAGAAATTGTTAGTTTTGAGATCTCCCTTTCTAAACTTCAGTTTCTCAACTTACTACTATCTGAATTGTACTTTCTTAAAGTTGATTCCAATTTAAAAGCAATCTCCTTTTAGTGCAAGTATCAAAATAACTTCAAAAACAAAACTCGGCATTCTCTCATTAAATTAAAACATTTATCACCAACATAGGGGAAAGAAGGCAATCTGCAAGTCAGTCTAATTAAGGACTGTTGTACAAGATAAATTGAACTAATATCTAGAGTAAAAATTGCTTTATGTTGCTTTTATTGGTGTCAGTTTTAGAAACATGTTCCAAAAAAAAATACTGTCCTCAAGATTATCTTATTATAAACTGCAGCAGTGATAGAAAAACCCAAAACAAATAAAATTTTGACACAAGAATACCATGTTGGCCCAAATAAGGCCTGTATTACCTGCAGGTTTTCTCAGCTACTTGAAATGAGCTGCCTCCATAGTCATCCAGAACTTTGAGCATGTTTGGTTGGAAACATTAAAAGAGACTCAAGAAGAACAGAGAGTTTATAAGAGGTTTTTTTATGTTTTCCTTTTAATTACATGTATGGAATTTGAGGTTATAAGTAATCAGTCAGATAGAACCAGTACAAGGTCTTAGGGGTTCTGAAGAGGTAATTTGAAGAGTTGTTTTTAAAGAATGTAACAGATATTAAAAATGTACTTCAAATTAGCTTTCCCATTTTCCTCCCCCATGGCTTCACCTAAGGACCTAAAGTAGCATTCTGGTGCAGTGTGAAGGAGCTGAAGCTCCTGCCCTGGAGGCAGCTGGAGGGATCCCTTTTGCTTACAGAAGCACAGAGGGCTTAGTGATTGAGAAATACCTTGTCAATCAACCCAGTCTTATATTTTAATCATTTACATATATAAATAACTTTTATTTAACCATGCTATGCTAAGAAATAAGGTAGGGAAGAATAATTTACAAAAAACTAAAGTTTGAAGTTTAATAAAGGCGATAATCTAGGAAAAAAGGATTAGAGATGCATCCACATTATCATACTGTACATCTGGGAATGCAGCCGCTTTAGTAGTTGAAGTGTCATAGGAACAGAGGGAGCATGGAGTGGGAAGGATGTATTCAGGGTCCCCATGTGCCAGGCCTGCAGCTCACTTAATCCTTGGAGTCATTTTTAAATAATATTAATCATGAGAGCTGATTACTGTATGTCCAGCACTGTTCTGAGTACTTTACATAATCTCATCCTTGCTGCTACCCTATCAGGTAGGTATTTTTATTAATCCTATTTTATAGGGATGCAGCTAAGAGAGGTTAAGTAGCTTTGCCAAGGTTGCGTGGCTGGGGAGCGGTAGAGCCAGCATCCTTGTCGAGCGTTCCTCACTCCTGACGCTTTCCTCCATGCAGGGGCCATGGGAGGGAGGCGTTTGCACACCTTGCATCCACAGGACACCTGGCTGGGAAACCTGCCCCGAGTTACGTGGATATTGAGTGGTAGATTTCAAACCCGGGAGTCTCTCCGACTCCCAAGCCCAAACTATTTCTGCTAGTGTGCTGTTGCACAAGAGGGAGTCAAAGCATGAGATCATTCTTTCGCAGAGCTGCTTTAGATTTTTATCTTATATAAAAAGGAGAGGAAGTTGCCTCTGCCCAGTACTGCCTCATATTTGGGCCAATATGGTAATTAGAATCATGCTACCAGAATATTCAGCTAACTAAAGGTTTTCAGATAAAAATAGAGAACTTAAAGAAATTTCAGAGCCTGTTTTTTACTGAATTATGAGATCATTTTCTGAGAAAAAAAAAAAGGAGCATTTCCCTTCAAGACATTTGAAAATTAGCCTAAGCATATAGTATGCAACAGGGAATTAGCTATATTGAGATGAACTAGATGACCTAATAGGTCTTTCTTTTTTTTCTCTAAATTTCTAGGAGTCTCATGATTTGAATGTTGATGAACTCTTTGACTTGAACATTTTGTTTCTTCTAATTGTTCATCTTTTCCTGATAATTATAAGGTACACCAGGAGGATGGAATCAACTATACCCTTTATAAAAGGTGGATTTTTGAAACCGTAGACCTTATTTTGTTATACTCAAACATGACCCTAGACTTTTCTCTCCTGCCATATCCCTCCTCCTTTAAAACAGCCCCCGAAAAGAAAAGTTAATTTTTAAAGCTTCTTTTAATTCTGTTCAGCTGGCTGCTTTGTTCCTAGTAGACAAAAATTGGAGCTCTCCAAGGAGAATTCAGGATGTAGAGGCGGGTGGCGTGAGGACTAGCTTAGCAGTGGCTCAGACGGCTGCTGTCAAATGCTTTGGGTTTGGAAATGTGTGGGTTCTTAATAAGTATTACTTAATCCTGACAGCAGGACCAGAAATTTAACATGAACAATTAAGAATAAAGGATTCAATTCTTGGTGGCTTACAGGTCTTAATATCCCAAACAGACCTGTTCTTCCCTGGTTCTATGCACGTTTTTTAGTGAGTGAAGGGGAGATGAAAAAATGTTACAGTGTTAATGCTTTGCAAGAGTTTGTGATTGGTTAAATATAAGCATAGACATACAGACTGGTTCAAACAAAAGATATAGTTCTTTGTAATTTCTCATGTGAATTCAGGCATCCAGGTAGACTGTTAGAAAAAACGAACTTTAATTTGTTGAACATACTTTTTCATTCACATCTGGACATTTGAACATGAAAAGGGTGTGTTCTGGGTCTAGAACGTTTGCGCTTATCTTCCTGTTTAGATGTCTGATATGCCAAAGCCTGCCTTCATGAAGCAGAACCTGGATGAGCTTGGAATAGGAACGTACCACAACATTGCCTTCATACATCCAGACACTCCCATCATTAAAGCCTTGAACATATTTGTGGAAAGACGAATATCAGCTCTGCCTGTTGTGGATGAGTCAGGTTTGTGTGTTTGGCGCTGACAGTCAGACAGAAATAATTGTTTATCTCAGGGTGCAATTATTGTGAGATGACCTGGCACAGGAGATACGTGGGGAAAATGAAAACTTGGATATGGTGAATAAATTCAGCACCAAGGGGCACAAAGGGTCATACAAATGTTTAATTGGTTTATTTTCATATGTCCATTAAAATATGATTTTATATCTAAGTTTCCATTTAAAAATAGACAAGGTTATTAGCATTTAACTTTTAGTAATTACGTCATTAAAACTGATTTTAAATGAGTTTCTTTTTTAAGACATTTTTCTAACATATATTTTTCATTTTTAGGAAAAGTTGTAGATATTTATTCCAAATTTGATGTAATTGTAAGTATTTTAATTTTGTTCGATCTGTCACCTAGAATGCATTTTAAACATTCATGTAATATGTTTTTATGTTTTTCTCTTGTTTCTTAATTTAATAATTTCTAACCTTTTGGGGTGTGAGGATATTATCAGAATTTTATAGACCTTCTATAGTAATTGTACTTTTAATATGCATTGGTTTAGCAATTAGTTATACATTAGCAACATTTTATAATTCCTCGTCTTTACAATACATGCATATTTTATGCACTGCCGCAGCATGTGCATGTATTTTCAATGTTCTTGTTTCCCAGGAGGAGGCCTGATTTATTCGCCTCGAGGCGTATGTGTAGTGCACACGTGGACTCATGGCTCCTTTGTCGGGCACGTCCCGTTGCTTACTGATTGGGAGCCACTGTTCTAAAGAAGGAAAGGGGACTGACACTTTATAGCCGCAAATGTGCACGCCATTTTTTCCACAATGCTGACCCCGCATTGAACATTCTTTTGCAGCTGTCTCAAACCCTTTGCTTCACACTATTCTGTTATGTTAAACATAATAGTCACTGAGAAATATGCTGATGGGCATTTTGGTTGAGTGGGACCCGCTAAAATGAATGAGAACCCCATGCAGCTGTTTGGATCCATGGGGCTCATCAAGCCTGTTCTTCCTCCATGGTTGCTTGATCCCCCTGGGCCCTCCAAATTCTTCCCAGCAGAAACCTTGTTTCCCAGGGAGCTCGTTGAGAAGGTCCATTGCTGCAGCACTCACCACGCTTTACAGGTGTCAGCCCACCTTGCCAGAGATTTTATCCATGCATGGTAGAGAGCATTAGAGGGTAAAAACGGGGGGCAATCTTTGGCAGGATATGCTATCAAAGTTTAACAACGTTGCTTCATAAGGAAGGTAGACCTCGTAACATGATTATCTTTAATTGTGATTGTTACGTTGATGAAATAACAGTACCAATGGTATGTTGTAAGCCAGAACAAACGTCTGATGTATGCAGGTACTAAATTCAGATAAGCATTAAAGTTTTTAGAAATCAGGCTGTCTTAAGCTCACTAATTTTGGTCATTGAAGTGAACTGAAATGAAAGGATATAATTTATTTTGCTTCATTACAGAATCTTGCTGCTGAGAAAACATACAATAACCTAGATATCACAGTGACCCAGGCCCTTCAGCACCGTTCACAGTATTTTGAAGGTGTTGTAAAGTGCAATAAGCTGGAAATACTGGAGACCATTGTGGACAGAATAGTGAGAGCTGAGGTGAGACGGCTTTCCCAGTCCTGCTCCCCCGAAGGCCACTGCAACAAGTCCCCAGTAGTGAATGGTGCCTCCGGAAGCCTGACTCTCAGGAAGGGCCCAGCGAGGCAGCCTCCAAGTTCAGTCGGATGGGATTCTCTCCTGTCCCAGAACCTGGCACACTATTGGCACATAGGCAATCTCTAAAGATTTGTTGAATTGAATTGAAAAGTCATGATATCATAGCTGAATCAAATAAACTGGTAAGATACATTCATAGTTTAAACCATATGTGTTTGACAGCCTGGACAACATAAGAAGACCTTGTCTCTACTAAAAATAAAAATAAATTAGCCGGGCATGGTGGCTTGGACCTGTAGTCATAGCTAATAGGGAAGCTGAGGAAGGAGGATCACTTGAATCCAAGAGCTTGAGATTTCAGCGAGCTGTGGTGGTGCCACTGCACTCCAGTCTTGGCAACAGAGCCAGACCCTGTCTCTAAATAGATCTGTGTATCTATATCTATAGATACATTTTGTTTTGAGAAAACAAAAGTTGTCCCGGAAGCTTTAAGTTCCATTTGAGTATTTATGAATTCAAAATCTAAAGTGCAAAATGTACATTTTAACAAAGTGAATGATAAATCAATAAAACTTTTTTCTCTCTTCCCACCAGTATCTCTTTTTCCTCAATTAGATAAATAGCAAATAATGTAGTAACTCCCAGGTTCCTGCACCTCAGCAGTCCGATTTCCTTAGACTTTAATGCTTATAGGATTTTAAAATATACTTTGTGTAACACCCTAAATAAAAGACTCCGTCTAAAAAAAAATTCCTTCACAAGATGACTCCTCACAGAAGGACCAAAAAAATAAGTTTTTAGCTTTAATGTAGCTAGGAGAAGGGTGTACAGTATCAGTGATGATTCCATTTATTTATATGACATAAATAGAGCACTAACTTTTAGGTACCTCCAAAAAGGGACATACATAAGTTTGACTCAGCAGCAGATGACAAGAAAATATTTGGGAAGTCATTTCAGTCTGAAAGAACTACTTGATTCTCTGGGTGAGATGGTTTCCCTTGAGAGATTCTCTGAGTGAGATGGTTTCCCTTCAGAGTTCAAGAGATAACTGTTTAATATCCACTATTGAATGTAACCAATAAAATGTGTTCAGTGTAGAAGACAAATGTGAACTATCATTTTAATGTGTGATTATAGTTAGCAAATAATTGTGCTATGTTATATCACAGGATTACTGATGAACCTAAAAGCTTTTTTAGAGAAATGTTTAAAAGAAATTTATGTTGACTGCCATAAGAAAGATAACCAAGACATTATTATTATTATTTACCTAAAGCAAGCTATGACAGAAACATCACCAACATAGTATTATTTGAGACAAAATATAAAAACTGGATTTCCCCCTCTTCCTATCTCCTTTCTATGTCCCTGTTTTCTACTGGGGTATCGCTGTTCAATACAGAGAGGGTCTCCCAGGGCACAGCTGGCACAGAGCTGCCTTGGCCCAAGTTCTGAAGCCCTTTTTTTTTTTTTTTTTTTTTTTGAGATGAAGTCTCACTCTGTTGCCCAGGCTGGAGTACAATGGTGCAATCTTGGCTCACTGCAACCTCCACCTCCCAGGTTCAAGCGATTCTCCTGCCTCAGCCTCCTGAGTAGCTGGGATTACAGGCATGCACTACCACGCCCGGCTAATTTTTGTATGTTGGTCAGGCTGGTCTCGAGCACCTGATCTTGTGATCTGCTCACCTCAGCCTCCCAAAGTTCTGGGATTGACTGGCGTGAGCCACCACGGCCGGCCCGAGTTCCAAAGTCTTTTTTTTTTTTTTTTTTTTTTTTAAAGACACAGTCTCGCTCTGTTGCCCAAGCTGGAGTGCAATGGCATGATCTCAGCTCACTGCAACCTCCACCCCCCAGGTTCAAGCAATTCTCCTGCCTCAACCTCCTGAGTAGCTGGGACTGCAGGCATGCACCACCATGCCCGGCTAATTTTTTTGTATTTTTAGTAGAGACTGGGTTTCGCCATGTTTGGCTGGTCTTGAACACCTGATCTTGTGATCCGCCCACCTCAGCCTCCCAACCGCGCCCAGCCGTTCTGAAGTTTTTAAGAGAATAGCGACACTGCTCCCTTCCTGCGGATGAAATGCCTGTTAAAGAAACACCACAAAACACTCTGCAGTCACTCATTAGAGATTTCAGAGTAGAGAACTAGAGATGAACGCAATCTATCCCACTTCATTATAGCTCATTTATCCTCTTGAATGCGATTCTTAACATATGAACTTCACAGAGAAAAGACACTGCAGAAAATAAAACCCTTGTAAGAGCCACGACCTTGTTTCTTCATTTCCGTCATCATCTGGACTTCCTTCCCATGTATTAATAAGACAAGTACCTGATAGTTATTAGAAACTGACATACAGCTTTTAGAAATTAAAACTGTTATGTTTAAGAGCATGTTATAGCTACATCGTGCTTCGTGTTTTGAGGTGTATCTTTTCTATATTAATATTTTGAAAATTGAAAACTCAGCAGGGCATAGCTAGCTCTTTTTTCTTAAAAGTAATCAAGCAAATCCGCTGGAATTAGAGACAAGTCAGTATCATTAGAGACAGTAGATAGATAGTTTTCCCCTCTTTCCTTCTCCTGCTTGTGTCCCTGTTTTCCACCAGGGCTGTGGCTATTCAGTACGGAGTGGGTCTTCCAGGTAATCAGACAGTAATACATTGAATATTAGAGCCCAGGGTCGTCGTTTGGGTCTGTCCGCTGCTACTTTCCTCATTTATTCATTTATGTGTGTGTGTGTGTGTGTGTGTTGCTTTTTTCTTTTTTTGAGACAGGGTTTCACTCTGTCACCCAGGCTGGAGTGCAGTGGTGTGATCTTGGCCCACTGCACCCTCCACTTCCCGAGCTCAAGCAATCCTCCCACCTCAGCCTCCCAAGTAACTGGGACCACAGGTGTGCACCAGCAGACCCAGCCGCTGTCTCATTTTTTTAAAGATGACGTCTCACTATATTCCCCAGGCTGGAGGGATGTGTTTATCGTATAAAAACATGACATCATATTTTTTCCTAACGTCCATTTTAAACCTTTTTTAAATGTTAATTTTCACGTGTCCTGCTTTTCTCTTGGCAGGTCCATCGGCTGGTGGTGGTAAATGAAGCAGATAGTATCGTGGGTATTATTTCCCTGTCGGATATTCTGCAAGCCCTGATCCTCACACCAGCAGGTAAAATGCTGGTTTCTGACTTTGCCATTGGCATCTAGGAAGGGTGGGGGGCAGAACAGGAAGTGCAGCATTTAAACCATCGTTTCTCCACCACCCACCTACAGATCAAGGCTTTGACTATATTACTTTGTAAACCGTTTTCGTTTTCTTTTCAGTTGAGAAGTTTAAGTGTTCTGCGTGAGTGAGGAAAGTGTATACAATGTATTCTAAGTTAAGAGCATCCTATCAAGGTCCAGTGGCCTCTAAATGACTTGGAAGCCATTGCCATGTTCATCATAACCTTTTCCACTGAAAAGACCTCTTCAGTTGTGCTTTGTGGGAGAACTAGTGAAACATAAGAAACATAGAGGGAATGTCATTGGCTTCTACTGATACCTTCATCTTTCCTTAAAGAGAAAAAATAAAATAAAAACCTTGTATTTTTTAGTAGATAAAACAGAATACTTATACAAACTTTTATTCATTAATATTGCACAGAAATTACATTCACTTTCAAGTAGAGTGTGGTTAAACTCATTTTCTGACAGATTGACTTTGAGCAAGCCCCCAGGGTCTCAGACAGCGAGGAGCAGAGAGAGGAGGAAAGGGCTTTGGACAAGAGGAGCTGGCCGTCCTCTCATTTCACACACTCAGTAGTAAGAGGTGGGCTTCAGAGTTCTTAAAACCCCAGCCCTCCCTTCGCTCTTCCTCCTCTTCCCATCCCTGCGCCTCCCCAGCCCAGTCAAATATGAACAACCCAGCCTTTGTCAGGGCCACATGGACCCAATGTGGGAGCAAACAGCATGCCCTTTGAACTCTAAGAATCAAATATTAAATGGTGTGTGTACTATAGTATTGATTTCTCTTTAGTTCAGAAATTTCAGCTAAGACTAGTTTCTACAGTCTGTAACCCAAAAATACCTACCCTAAAGGAATCTTCACCACCTGCAACAAACATGTCTCATTCGCTAAATGAGAACACCAAGAGAAATTCCAGTACGGCAGTGATTTTTCAGAGGTGGTCCTCAGGCTAGGCATCATCACCGCCACCTGGAATTTATTAGGAAATGTCCACGTTGGGGCCCCGCCCCGAATCCACTGAATCAGAAACTCTAGAAATGGGGCCTGGTGCAGTCACTTGCAAACTTCAAGTGTTTGAAAGACCTGAATCTCACAATAGTCTTTATAATCATGAAATATTAAGAACTAAACGCATGTCAACGTCATAAAACTGGAAATAATCCAAATATCTTTGAAAAGAAGAATGGATAAATTGTGTCACATTCATTCGATGGAATACGACACAGCATTGAAAACGAACAGTGCAGCTGTGGAGGAATCTCACAGGCAACACTGAACAGAGGGAACCCGACTCACCCAGACCATCGTATTAAATTCATGTAAATTTCCAAGCTGGCATAACTGCACAGCACATTCGTGCTCACTAGAAAAAGTCCTCTTTGGGCAGATTTATTCCCACAGGTATATAGCTTAGCACCTTCAGAAAAAGCCCGTTTCCAGCCCTGGACCAAGGGTCACAGTCTGCCCAGCAGGGTCAGGCTGAATGTCAGCTCTTGGCTGTCTCTTTGGACATTACAAAAAGAGTAAACAAGTCAAGTGATCCTCTCTGTTTCTTGAGATCTCAAACCATAAGAATGAGACGGTTGTACTGGATGAGTTCAAATTTCCATCCAGATTTGGTATTTCAAAAATTCTAAGTCATTGCGATGCCCCTCCCATCCGTGCTGGCGCAGGGAGGAATCTATTTCCAGCTGGAATTTGGAATGTATGTTACCATAGAAATTGTGCCGTGAAGATGGGGGTAGCTGGATTGGAATTCCTTATGATGCAGCGTATACAACACGATTCGTTGAGGAAAATATTCCACATTACTAATAACTGGATTGCACGTGAACTTTTGGAGTGGGACGCCTGCATCTGATCAACAGTCGCTGACGTGCTTCCGTGTGCGGGAGACAGCCGGCTACAAGCAGTGAACGAGGAGGCCCCCACTGTGAGGCCAAGTCCCAGCCGTCCCACCCGAGCACTATCTGAATGTAAGCAAGTCACTTCACCTCCTTCAGCCTCAATTTCTTCAGTGGAGAAGCAGTGGGCTGATACAGGCCAGTCTCCCTCCTAGGATGCTATGAGAAAAGCTGAAAGCCGTGCATGAAAGCCATGTGCGTGCGATGAGGCGCGGTGCCCAGGACCAGCACTGTTAGGTGGTTGTCCGTGGAATAGTCAGTAAGAGGCAGTTTGATGAAGCGTCTGCTGTTACTCGATTGAAAGGTACTAGGGTGACTGTCTTCACTAGGCAATGGCCACCGTTCCCCATAGGGATACTGGTTCAACACAATAACATTTTCTCTTTTTCAGAAAGTTTTTAGCAATAGTTCATTGTCAAACTTAGACTGCCTGAATGAACCTGTGTGTGTGTGCATCCAGTGCGTGGGCAGTCTGATGCTAGGAGCTACAATGTTTTAGCCACATATTCTAATAGATTGCCAATGTCTTTCAGGGGTCTAGCATCTGGTGAAAAAATAGGAGAGAAACTCCTGTGATGAGAAAAATAGTAGCTCTCCTGCCAATCCACTGTGGAATGTCCTAGCCAGATACTTGTTAGGTCCCATTATCCTTAGGAATACCATAAAGCTTTTATTTTATTTTATTTATTTCATTTCATTTATTTTTTTACTTTGAGACAGAGTTTCACTCGTCACCCAGGCTGGAGTGCAATGGTGTGGTCTCGGCTCACTGCAACCTCTGCCTCCAGATTCAAGCAATTCTCCTGCCTCAGCCTCTCAAGTAGCTGGGATTACAGGTGCCCACCACTACGCCTAGCAAATTTTTGTCTTTTTAGTAGAGACAAGGTTTCACCATGTTGGCCAGACTGGTCTTGAACTCCTGACCTCAGGTGATCCGCCTGCCTTGGCCTCCCAAAGTGCTGGGATTATAGGTGTGAGCCACCGTGCCTGGCCTAAGCTTTTTTAAACACATATTTTTAAGTGTGCACAACTGAAATACTTCACACCTTCACTAAAACATACCTACATATTTCTTAGTAAATTTTTTTAGGAGTGGAACTCTTTTTTTTCCAAATTAAATCTAACATATTTAGAATGACAAGATGTTACATGGATCCAAGCTGCACGAACGATTGGGTGGGAGATGGGAGCTTGGGCCACCTGCTCCTTCCCACATTGCCCTCCTCCGAAGCCTCTGGATCATCCTCCTAAGGCACTGCCAGGCACAGGTAGAAACCCCTGGGGGAGAGAACCCTGCTGTTACCATGAGCTTTGAAACTTTCGTCTTCCATCCACTGACAGGTGCCAAACAAAAGGAGACGGAAACAGAGTGACCACCGTGAATGTAGACGCCCTAGGAGGAGAACTTGAACAAAGTTTCTGGGTCACGTTTTGCCTCATGAACACTGGCTGCAAGTGGTTAAGAATGTATATCAGGGTTTAATGATGGGTATTTCTTCCAGTGATGTTGGAATTAAGCTTAAAAAAGAAAGATTTTATGTGCTTGAAGATTCAGGCTTGCATTAAAAGACTGTTTTCAGACCTTTGTCTGACGGATTTTAAATGCTGTATGTCATTAAAGTGCACTGTGTCCTGAAGTTTTCATTATTTTTCATTTCAAAGAGTTCACTGGTATGGAACAGGTGATGCGACATAAGGTGAGTGCACGGCATGTTCAGATCACAGTGCCTTATGTCCGAATACAGCAATATGTCACCTCCGCAGCCGGGGCGCACACGTGCGAAGCCACACCGAGCTTGAATGTGGAAGTCTTTGAACCTTTTACCAAATCAGTTTGTTTTCATTAGATTTGTCAAAAAGTTGTCATTTGAATATAACGAATGACTTTAAAACTGTAATGACACTTTTACACGTAAGTGTTTCGTTCCGGGCTACCGTGTCAACGAGGCTGCTTTACAACAGCTTTATTTAGTTTTACTTTCATGCCATTTTTTTACACATCTTTTGGTGGGGTAAACTTCACCACACCCATGAATAAACTCTCAGTTATTTTGAAATGGCAAATTTCTCATGATTTAAGTTTGGATCTGGAAAGGACATGACTTCTGGAACAGCCGCTGCCGGGTGTTCAAAGCTGAGGCCTCTCAAAACGTGTGGGAGACGTTGCCGTCAGGCGGGAGCCAAGTGCCGGGAAGATGTCTATTTTTTTTCTTGTGTATTAAAATGTAAAATCATGATGTTTGTATGACTGCCGATGCGATTGTGTTTGTAAATTTTATTGTGGCATATACAGTATTGTCATACAGTTGAAGAGAAACAATGTTTCCTAATGTAAGTGCTCTGAAAATGTTGACACTGTATATATATATATGAGGATAGTTTGGGTTTTTTTTGTTTTTGGGTTTTTTTTTCAGATTGAAAAATTAAAATAAATCCTACTATCTACCATTTTGTTAAAGAAGTTATTTAAAATGCCTTGTATTTCAGCACCTATCAATTAAAATTCTACGTGCAGTTTTCCACTTAGCTATTTCTCCCCAAATAAAGAAGTACGTGAATTTCATCTCTTTTCCGTTATCAGGAAAAAGAGTCAGGGTTTAATTCGTAAACTATCTGTCTCCACTGTTAAGTGTGACTATATTATTATTTTATTTTATTTTATTTTATTTTTTTGAGACAGAGTCTTGCCCTGTTGCCCAGGCTGGAGTGCAGTGGCACGATCTTGGCTCACTGCAACCTCTGCCTCCCGGGTTCAAGCGATTCTCCTGCCTTAGCCTCCCAAGTAGCTGGGATCACAGGTGTGTACCACCACGCCCAGCTAATTTTTTTTTTTAATTGTATTTTTAGTAGAAATGGGGTTTCACCATGTTGTCCAGGCTGATCTCAAACTTCTGACTTCAGGCGATCCACCCGTCTCAGCCTCCCAGAGTGCTGGGATTACAGACATGAGCCACCGCACCCAGCCGAGTATGAATATGTTTAATTTAAAATTGCCACACAGGTTTTTTGCATGTGTGCTAAGTTGTCAGTTTTTTCATTTCCTAGTAGGCCAAATATGAGAGAGACAGCAAATGTGTATGTTTTCCCCATAGAAACAATAGTGGTTGTGATTTAAGCTAATGGTAATATTTGGGAGAAAGGAAAAAGTCACAAAGTTGCCAAAACAACACAATTTTGAAACTCAATTTATCAATCTGTTCCTTGTTTGTGTGCCCAACACATGAGTGTGTGTGCAGACTACATATCTACATACAGGTGATGTGGCACATACACAGGTACAGTCATGGGCCGTGTACAGATGCTTCAGTCGGACAGACTGCATATGCTACAGTGGCCCCACAAGATTAAAATACCATCTTTTTACTGTACCTTTTCTATGTTTAGATGCACAAATACCATTGTGTTACAATTGTCTACAGTAACATGCTGTACAGTTTGGTAGCCTGGGAGCCATAGGCCATACCATATAACCCAGGCGTGTAGTGGGCTGCACCATCTAGGTTTGTGCAAGTACACTCCATGATGTTCACACAAAGATGAAATCACCTAGGCCGGGCGCAGTGGCTCACGCCCGTAATCCCAGCACTTTGGGAGGCCGAGGCAGGTGGATCACCTGAGGTCAGGAGTTCAAGACCAGTCTGGCCAACATGGTGAAACCCCGTCTCTACTAAAAATACAAAAATTAGCCAGGCGTGGTGGCGGGCACCTGTAATCCCAGCTACTTGGGAGGCTGAGGCAGGAGAATCACTTGAACATGGGAGGCAGAGGTTGCAGTGAGCTGAGATCGCATCACTGCACTCCAGCCTGGGCGACCAAGCTAGACTTCGTCTAAAAAAAAAATGAAATCACCTTACAACACATTTCTCAGTGCATTTCCGTGGGTAAGCAACACATGACTGTAGGTAACTACGTGTATAGTTACATAGATGATGTGGCATATATCTAGATGTGTAGGTGACATGGCATGTTTTTGCTTTAGAAAAGGGTTTTGGGCCACATGGGTCCTTGCGATTCCTGTTCCTGCGAGCTCGTTCAGCAGAGCTTGGTCTCCCTCAAGCGAGCTTGTTCCGGGCTCCTGAGTGGTGCAGAGGCACCAGCCACAGCATGGCTCACCACAGGCCTCTTGCTGGGGCTTGGCCTTGAAGAATTCTCTTCCTGTTGTCAGACTACAACTAAGAAAGGCCTGTACCCTCTTCCAACGAAGGGCTGGCATTTGTTCTTCGCAAATGGGGAAGACCTGGCTGTGGTGAGCGTGCTGCTGCTGCTCGGTGCCTTTGTAGGAATGAGGGAAAGTGGCCCTGAAAGAGGCCAAGCCTAGCTAAAGGCCACACATTGGTAAATATGTATTGAAGGAGAGATTTGAAGGGAATACGTTTTAAGTAGTTCTAGATAGAGAAACCCTTGCTGGCTGACCCCCAGGTGTCTGCCCTGACCTTGTCATGGTGAGGCTCGCAGGGACCCCATGGGCCCTGGCTCCCTGTGCTGTCCCACCCCCGCCCTGAGGCGGAGCTGAGAGCACTTGAGAGGATTGTCCTGAATGTCACCTGGGTGGTGGATAAGGGCAGGTGCATGTCACAAATCAAGGATGTTGGTTCTGTTTCGCATTCTAATCTCTAAGAAGAGTTTATAATGTAAATGTATTGAACTGATAGAATTTCTTAGGACATTTCTTAGGAGGGTTTAGTCTTCTAAACTCAGGGAAGCAGACAGTCCTCACGGTCAGGGGAGATTCTGTTCCCCAGGGGGGCATTTGGCAATGTGGAAACATCTTCGGTTGTCACAACTCAGGGTGGAGAGAGGCAGGCCCTGCTCCTCTGCCCACGCCTAGGCCCCCTAGCTCGCTCATTCAAGCCACCTCCTGGGCCTGGCAGGCATTGGAGGGCGAAAGGCTTTGGATGGGAGCTGTCCCTGGCACACAGCGGCGGGCTCTCAGCCGGGCTGATGCTGCACTCCGAGCAGCTTCCTTCCTTTCCTGCTGTCCCTCTCCTCACCTGTGCCCTTTGGGCCAGTGGGGAAGAAGCGGCCAGAGCCAGCCCTGCGCTTGTGGCCGACTTGTCTGAGCTGCAGAGAACAGAGGAGACACGGAGCGATGCTCCCCCAGGGGCCTCACTCACCCGCCAGACAAGGGGAGAGGGTGGCAGGGGAGGAGCCCTCACCTCTGTCTACAGCCCTGTCGCTGGGCACCTCACTCCTGTTTCCAACACAGCCTCCTTCACCTCTGCTCCTCCACACACACAGCAGAAAAGCTAGGAACCTCCTCGTTTTCTGTGCATTTTTAAATCCTCCTCCCCACCCCTTTGAAAAGACCTCTAAGAGGGCAGCATTTCCAACAACTTTGAATGCATTCTAGTTGTAAGCCCTAAGAGGTGTCCCTTCCAAATTATGGCCACTATGCCTGGCTGCATTTTTAAACCAAAATTGAATCACTTCAGTGCTGGGAAACCCTGACTGCCTGGAGAATCCAGCCTTATCTACTGAGCTGGGAGATGGAGGCCCTCACTGGCCTCTGCCCACTCTGATGCACTCCCCTGCACTCCAGAAGGGTCCCCAGCTTCCACACCTGCCTGCCTGCGCCCTGTCTCCAGATTCTCCATCTAGAGCAATTCTGTTCATCTCTCAAGGCCTGAATCAAATACGACTTCTGCTGTGACCCTCCCCAGCAAACAGAGGCCCCCTCCCTCTGTGCTGCACAAGACCCGCCACACACGCACAGCTGTATTTATTGTAAGTCACTGTCCCTTCCCTACCCTCACTCCCTCCTGGCCAGTGGAGAGCAGTGGTTGAAAGCAGCTGGCGTCTGGAGTCAAAGGAGGGTTTGCTACCCAGCACTACTGTCACTGCCAGAAAGCTGTTGTGCAATCCCTTACCTTGCTTAGACTGGTTTTTCTCACCTGGCAAGTTGTTTACAGGCAACAGCACTTTGCAGCTCTAAAGGACCATATAAATGTTAGTAGCAGTTGTTGACATGGTGGTCCCCTGAGTCCTTTGAGGAGGGTGACCTGTTCATCTCGATGCTCTGAGCTCTGGCAAGGATCCGGCATGTGGCAGGTGCTCGACTGATGTCTGTTCAGAGTCTGGACAGTGGCTGGTGAAGGCCAGCACATCTACATGGATTTTGGCGCAGGTGCAATGTCCCCGTCGCACAAAGCTTTTCCCTCTAGATTGCCAGTTGACTTGATAAAGTTAGAGAGATGCCACATAATCTGCAGCGTTACAGACAAATCCAGAGGTGGCCAAGTGCACAGACCAACCGTGCACAAAGAACACGATGTAGCCGTGTGTGGAGGGAGCCCCCCTTGCCTTTTAGGAGAAGGGAGGAAAGTGTCCCAGTGCCTGCTCAGAAAGAAAAGCAAGGCTGGCTCCAGGAGCCAGAAGTACAAAAGACTGCGCCTCACCTGCATGGAGGGAGACATTTGATGGGCTCATTCCTGAGCCTCTTGAAATCCAAACCTGCGATTGCATGATGTTTTGAGAATTTCCATGTACCATCTCTGGCCCTTGTCTTACTTTTGCAAGATGAAACAATTTCCAGAAACTTTTTTAAAGTACTGTTTTAGGGGCAGATGCTGTGACTCATACTGCTAATCCCAGCAGTTTGGGAGACCAAGGGAGGAGGATCACTTGAAGCTAGGAGTTCAAGACTAGCCTGGGCAACACAGTGAGACCCCCGTCTCTACAAAAAATAAAAAAATAACTGGTGTAGTGATGTGTGCCTGTGGTCCCAACCACGCCGGAGTCTAAGGTGGGAGGATCAATTGAGCCCAAGAAGATCAGTGCTGCAGTGAACCGAGATGGTGCCACTACACTCCAGTCTGGGTGACAGAGCAAGAGTGAAACTGGAAAAAAAAAACAAAAAAAAAAAACAGTAGGCCGGTCGCAGTGGCTCACGCCTGTAATTCCAACACTTTGGTAGGCTGAGGCAGGCAATCATTTGAGGTCAGGAGTTTGGGACCAGCCTGGCCAACATGGTGAAACTCTGTCTACTAAAAATAGAAAAATTAGCCAGGTGTGGTGGCACACACCTGTAATCCCAGCTACTAGGGAGGCTGAGGCTGATGCAGGAGAATCATTTGAACCTGGGAGGCGGAGGTTGCAGTGAGTCGAGATCTTGCCACTGCACTCCAGCCTGGATTACAGAGCAAGACTCTGTCTTTAAATAAATAAATAATGTAATTTAGTTAAAAAATACTGCTTTAGGACCAGCCCCTGGAATAAGTTCTAATGAGAACTGTCCAGTGGAAAGAGGGGGAGGTGGTACCCCTGGTTTGGAGGAGTCTCTCAAAAACAGGCACCAACAAACTGGCCTGCAATGAGGGGGCTCTCATGAGGCTCACAGTCCACATCATCTCATGACTTTTTAGAACTTCACAAAAGAGGCCGGGCGCGGTGGCTCACGCCTGTAATCCCAGCACTTTGGGAGGCCGAGGCAGGTGGATCACAAGGTCAGGAGATCGAGGA